GCCGTGGTCTTAGTACTGGGTCGGGGGATCCTGTCAATCAAGAAGTCCCTCTCAATGTCATCAGGATAGTTCCTAGAGAACTTCCTAATGAGTTTGAGGTTCCTCTTGATTAACAGGAACTCCTTACCCGTGATGGAGTCGCTGTCCCGTCCAATGTACCGTTTGCAGAAATTGACTGCTCTCCGATACATTTTCTTGGCAGCGATCTCCTTAGCGTTAGCTTGTCTATCAGATAATGGTACCGATGAATCATCCATCTTAACGATGGGAGCCTCATCGGTGCCAGCATCTGCTTCGACAGCCAACTGCCTTAGAAGCCTCGCGACGTCACTGCAGGCCGTGGAGGTTGAGTCAACGTCTTCAACCTCGCCAGGGTTTGCCTCCTTAGTCAGCCGAGGGGACCCTCCTTGCTTCAGGGGAGACATCATGGTTTCTACCGTACTTATCACCGTGGTTCTAATAACGGTGGTTTCCATAATGTCATCCTCGTCCGACAAGAGAGAGTCATCCCAGAGCTGATTTGGGATGCTCTCCTGACTGAGGCGGAAGGAGCCGGTTTCCTCTAGAAGGTCGAGGAGAAGATTCGACTGCCTCTCCAGGCTCGCATTTACGTCATCGAGAGATGGACAGGTGGCTAAAGATAGGTCCAGGGGAATTGCTTGGGTCGTCAACACTTTGGGGGAATCATTGATGTCTGACCTTGTAGAGTTCGAGACTGAGGGTGCCAAGGCAGCCACACCAACATCAGTCGAAGGTTCGCATTCATTGTTGTTTTGTTTTTTGGGGGGGGGGGGTGTATTAAAAATTGGCTCCATAAAAAGTGCTGTTAGTGAGGATTTGAGGTCGACCATGGCATAGCCTCTTACCATGGAAAGGACTTGGCAACTAAGCCTGAAACACTTGTTGAGGCGCCCAGGTATCAACAAGGCTCCGTTCTAATACAGTCGGTACCCTGACTGCAAACCGTGGAACGCTGATAGGCACGAGGTCGCATGACACCCCAGCGTTAGGGGAGACACTTTAAGAAGGTAGTGTCCCAAACCTTGAGATGGATATATGGGAGGGGCGCCATTCTCGCCTCGTCGACTCAGGGATCATTGGCACTCGGTCATTTCCTCCGAGACTCTCCCCCTGAGCCCGCTGATTGTCCGCGACTGTTTATTGGTTATTAACAGTTACCCAACGAATGGTGTTGGGCTTTCCACTATCTGCAACCTGTGGACGCGTCCGATAGCATTCAGCTTTGCTCCCCGTAGGCGGATATTTGATGATAGAGATACATATATTCTCATTTCATTTGTCTAAGACTTTGGGACTTTCAAACGGATTATTTGCTTCATAGACACCCTATAAAATATTGGGCTTGACAGGCGGATATAATTCAGTTATACTTTTTTCCTTATTCCATTTCACTTCAGTATTGAGAATTATTTCAAGGTGGCAAATCTGGGGCATTGCATTGACTGCGCTGCTATTCAAGGGTTTGCTTAAAAATTCGGACATAAACCATTTTTTTCAATGACTATGCAATATGATTGATTTTTTTCTTTTTTTTAATTATTTTTCAAGCCATATGATCCATTGTATTCATTTAATTATTATAATTAAGCATTCTCATTAAATGCTTCTTCAATTGGGAATGTGGTCTTTATTTTGTTTAATATGATTTTTATTTTAAATATTTATTTATTTGTGTTTGTCTTTATTATTTTGTGTATTTGTTTTAATTTATTGTATTTCTTTTTGTTTTCTTTTATATATTTTTTGTTTTGTTTTATTTTGCTAATTGAAAAATCGAAAAATCGAATGACCTACAACACAAATCCTTTTTCTTCATATTTAAGGGCGTGATGTTCTATCCGAATTAAAAAATCTTAATAATAATAAAAATGGCTGTGCAGGTTCCTGTAAGTTTTGTTTCCAAAATTTGTTTCACTACTATGTTAATAACTCTTATATACATTCCGTTGTTATTTTTGTATAAACTACTTATTTCTGTTTACAATTTATTGGTTATTTCATATATATAGTTTCTTTCTTATATTGAACTTCTACTTAAAAAACGACCAAGAGTTAAAAGAAGAAAGCTTAAACAGTTTTACAATTAACCCCCCTTTCGAAATACACGCATACACGCTATCTAACCTAAAAAATAAATAACTATATATATCATTATATTTTTTAATAACATTATTTTGTAAAAAAAAGCGATTTATGACTTATTTCTTGACTAAATACATATTTACTGGTTTACTGTTTTGTAGATAACTTGAAAAATGAACATATATGTATTTAAGAATTAAGGAGAATTGTTTGAAATATATATATATATAGCTCGAAGGACCAAATTAAAGGAAAGGAAATCGATTGAAGTCAGAAAATAACATTGTTCTTAGTATTTAAGGATTTTTCCCGTGCAGAAAAATATATCATTTCTCAGTGACTGATGTTATTTTTCTATAACCCGAAGGACCAAATTTGTAAAGAGGTAAAGTCGGTTAAGTCACCATAAATTAGTTTTAGGGTTTGAGGACTTTTGTCTAGAACCAAATTTGAAAAGAGATAAAAGATCGGTTGAAGTAAAAAAATAGTTGTCAGTGTTTGAGAGTTTTTGTCTATAGAAAAAATCTGTTCTCTCTCAGGGGTTGAGAATTTTTTTCTACAAGTAAAAACGTTGTTAAGCTGGACCTCTACATTCCAAATACCTAAAATCGATAAATTGTATATTGTTTGATATGTACAGCTTGAAATACCAAATTATGAAAAGAGGTCAATCGAAGTTAGAAAATAAAATATTTCTCAGTATTTAAGAATTAATGTAGAAAAAACATTTCAGTTCTCAGTAACTGGTGTTATTTTTCTATATCCCGAAGGACCAAATTTGAAAAGAGGTAATGCCGGCTGAATTCTGGAAAAATTAATTTTCAGAGCTTAAGGACTTTTGTATATAGAAAAAATCAGTTTCCTCAGTGGTTGAGCCAATTTTTCTACTAGTAAAAACGTTAAGTTCGACAGGGCTGAATTTTCCTATCGTCCTCCATGAGGTGAACATTAAAAATACTTAAAATCGATCGGGACTTTTATATTGTTTGATATGTACACCTCGTAGGACCAAATTATGAGAGAACGTCAGAAAATAAAATAGTTCGGGGTATTTAAGGGTTCCTGTAGAAAAACATTTCAGTTCTCAATGCCTTGTGGTTTTTTCTATAACTCGAAGGACCAAATTTGAAAAGAGGAAAAGTCGCTTTAAGTCACTATAAATTAGTTTTAAGGGTTTGAGGACCTTTGTCTATAGAAAAAAACTGTTCTCTCAGTGGCTGAGCATTTTTTTCTACATACAAAAACGTTTTTAAGTTCGATCGAGCTGAACTTTTTCTATCCTCCTCCATGAGGTGTACATTTAAAATACCTAAAATCGATCGGGACTTGTATATGGGGAGCTATGATATTGTAAATTGCTGGCAGGGGAAACCAACATATAAAACTACAGACACTCAGTTTGTAAAATTGGACCAATACCTTGATCATACCGAAAATGACGCATGACCTTCCTATAGGGGCTATGTAAAAACATTGAAAATGTTCTCTGAAGAAATGTTGTATCCCACAAAGTCCAGGAATGACTTTATAATGCTTAATTATAGTCACTTGGACTGGAAAATGCACCTGGGCCATCAAAATATCTATTAATGGGATTGAGGCGATCGACTTATATATAACCTTTTTACCCAATGAGGACTTAAAATATAAAATTAGAGTCAATTCGGATGAAAATATGGGGGCTACCCTAAAAATGGTCCAATATTGATATTTTTGGAGGATTTGTGGTTGAAAAACGTGTCCGAAATCCTCAAAATACTCAAAATTTTAGGTTACATTTATTTGGGCACTACCCTAAAAAGTGGCCCGATATTAATCATTTTTGGTAGGGAGATTTTCCAGCCAGTGCGAACCCAAAATAAGAAATTATGTCCAATTTCGTCGAAATACATGTCCGCAATGCTCAAAATTCCGATAATTTTAGTGTATCCTTAAATGGGGACTACCCTAAAAAGTGGGCCGATATTGATCATTTTTGGCAAGGATATTTGCCACCCAATGCGAACCCAAAATATCAAATTTTATCCAATTACGTTCAAATACGTGTCTGAAATCCTCAAAATACCCCACATTTTTGGGAACCTATAAACGATGAATACCCTAAATAGTGGACCAATTTTGATAACTTTTTGTAGGAAGATTTGCCACCTAATGATAATCCAAAATATTAACTTACATCCAATTCGGTTGAATAAAGTGCTCAAACTCCCCAAAATTCTGAAAATTAGAGGTGTTATTATATGGAACTACCCTAAAAAGTGGGCCGATATTCATAATTTTTGTTAAGATTTGTCACCCAATGTCAACCCAAAATATCAAATTATGTCCAATTCCGTTGAAACACGTGTCCGAAATCTTCAATTCCGAAAAGTTTAGGGTACTTTTATATACTTTTATAATCCAAAAAGTGGACCCATATTGATTATTTTCGGTAAGGATATTTAGCAACCAATACGAACCCAAAATATCAAATATCAATTCCGAAAATTATATATACCTAAACATGAACCTATATTATATTTTTTGTTACGGAGATTTCCTTCCTAATGAGAACCAAAATTAACAAAATTAAAGCAAATTCACTTAAAAACACTTCAGATGTGTTCAAAATACCGAATAAGTATTAGAATAGCAACTCCGAATTTTGGCCCAATTTTCTAAACGGAAAAATAAATTTAATAAGCATCCCACTCTATGGTGAAGGGTATAACATCTAAGAAATAATAAAAATATAAAGTTCTTCCGATTGATTTGGTCTTTTGATTTTTTAGTTCAAACCTCTCCCCCCATTTCTCCTTAATTCGCCACTATATATGTCTTTATATGTTTATTATATTTTTTATTTTTGTAACAAAAAAATATTTTCTATACGTTTTTTCTTTTCGCTGTCTTTGCAGTAAAATGTATGTTCAAAGAGGCTGGTGCCAAGGAGGGCATTATCGATGTCCTTATGGAATTTATTTTGGGCGATAATCCCAATACGGTGTTGGAAAAATTACGTCTGGAAGGTGCCACATCGGCGGTATGCGGCAAAGTTTTTAAAATTGGTGAACCCACATACAGTTGTCGTGAGTGCGGCATGGATCCGACCTGCGTTCTGTGTGTTAATTGTTTTAAACAATCCGCACATCGTTATCACAAATATAAAATGTCGACGTCGGGCGGTGGCGGCTGTTGTGATTGTGGCGACGAAGAAGCCTGGAAAAAGGATCATTACTGTGAGGAACACTTGGTGAGTAAAAACAAACATTCACTGCATTGTATTGTTGTTGTGGCAACGGAATCCATAGTTTGATTCTGGATCCTCTCTTTCCAATTTCCAGAAGGTTACAATCTGTGTCCGCATCGAATTTGGAGGTAGGTTGGTGGGTTTAGCTGGACAGTTAAATAGTTGCAACAGGTCGTATGGCTGTGTCCACAGCGAATTTTGAGATAGGTTGGCAGGTTTAGATGGGCAGTTAAATTGGTGCAACATGTCGTTCGGTCCTAGTCCATGTGTTGATCATATATTAGGTATCGTGCCACCGATTCGTGACCAGTGGGATTTGGGTTCCTTCGGACATCTCATTCTATATCATGGAGGTCATGGGTGGAGAAATCCACCCATAAGGTTTTGCCTCTTCATTGCAGTACTCAGGGTCGTATTCGGGAGCCACAAAGATTATCACTTACCGGTATGTTGCTTTTTAGAGGTATTTAAGGTCTCCAACACTTGAGGTCGTTGTTTCTACACGACTTGACATATTTTGGGGGAATGGTGGTGGTCGGAATCGATTTCCATAGATCAGCTCGATCAGTGGGAGCTCCAATTCAGGCGTCCAAGTTCCGAAGAAATTATCCCATCCTGGGGAAGTCACTTTTTCACTCTACGGTTCAAATTCGACTGAAGGTAAGTCTTTTCTCTGACGTCGTAAAGCTTGTCATGTTTGACGGTATCGAAGGCCTTCGATAGGTCAAGTTCTGGTAAAGTCTGATATTTGTGAAAATTACAGTTCTTCTCTTCTGGCACCCTTGTCAGTATCAGTATCGATCTGACACCTTTCCAGGCTTCAGGAGCAATGTGGGAACTTTATTCCGGCTTCATCCAGATTTCGGCCAAAGGCAATCATATCAAAAAGTGGAAATTCATCTGTACTGGTATGCTTTGATGGGGCTTCGTCGTCGCTTTGACGGGACATTGATAGGCGTTGCCCTTGCACATGTTTGAGAATTTTAGTTAGACGAAGTCATATATAAAAAATGTACAGGTGTATAGAAAATTTCAGAAATGCCAGTATTACAGATACTTAGGAAGGAAAATACGGCTAGGACCTTCCAAATATATGGGAGCTATGATAAAATTTGAACCTATATTTAACATTGTCTGCCAATATGGGGTTTTAACCTCTGTAGTCCCGACTTATAAATACTTGAAAATACATTAAATGCGACGGGTCAGTTATGCTGGGCCTACATCGAAATCAAAGTGTTTTACAAGCGGCAAGGACCAGTAGATTAAAAAGGTTACAAAAACTTCGTCTGGAAATCTTGAGACCCGATAAATCTTCTTTTTAATATTTATAATCCTAAGAGTATTTCAAAACTCTAAAGATCCAAATGGTCCAAAATAATTTCAGAATACATTTCTGATGTTTTAAGCCTTTTATCGCCCTTTTTAATCCACTAATTTCACAATCTGCTTCATCTCATTACAGCGGGGCAAGGAGAACAGTTCGAGCAGTACAATCATCACCGATGCCATTAAAGAACGCTGTGAAATTGCTTTTGTGGCCATTTTGACGTTTTGTGTCAACTATCTGGAAATCGAATCGAAAGCTAGTCTTGAATGCCTTGATGGCGATGGCACAGGCAAAGATTACTTCTGCACTGTGCTGTACAATGATGAATCCCATACCTTTGATCAGGTGATACAAACGTTAACAAAAATCGCCAAAGTCCAACATAAAGAAGCAACTGAAATTGTGGCCAGTATAGATCGTGAGGGCAGGGCGGTAGTCAAGTGTGATACATTTCTAGAGTGTATAGCACTGAAGGAGGCGATCGAAAAACAATCTGTTCCCTCAAATATGCCCATGGCAAATTCAAGGGCCAACCAGTCGCTGCGTGTCTCTGTGCTGCATATACGGGCAGTGGCTTGCCAGCAATTTGCTCTACAACTGCTGACATGGTTCCAGGAGTTTTTGGTGCGTCACAGTACCTTCCGTCAGATATTTGCCCGCATTGTAATGGACAAAAAGGCGCCGTATTGTATACGCCATATTTTGGAATATGATGTGGCCCTGTGGAAGACAGCCCGTACTTGTTGGCATCGTTTACTTATATCGGGCATGCTCATGGAATACGACAACAAAATGGCTTTGGCTCAAGAGTTCTCCAAGAACTATGCCACCATTGTACAGGATTTCATCAGTGATGACCATGATCATTCATTTTCCATTGTGTCACTCAGTGTCCAGCTGTTTACCGTGCCAAGTATAGCCCATTATTTGATTGCCCGCGAGGGGATCTTCTATAAGCTGCTGCACACTTTCTATCACAAGTCGATTGAGGGTTATATGCAGAATAAGACTTTACACTTTTCGAAAAATGTCTCGACCCTGGGCCACTTTAAGAGGGCCGCCTACATACTTTACGATCTGCGTTATATACTTAGCTTTAAGCCGGACTATTGGACGGATGAATTGCGTGAAGGGTTCCTCGAGGGGTGTAAGGCATTGTTGCGTGTTTTGAATGCCATGCAGGGCATGGAATCGGTCACTCGACAAACCGGTCAACATATGGACTATGAACCGGAATGGGAGTGTGCTTTTAATTTGCACATTAAATTGGCCAACACCATATCCTTGGTGTTGGAATGGTGTGCCACCGACAAAGAGGTGTTGACGAAGCTGTGCGTTATGGTAATGCGATACTTGCTGCAGAATATGTTTATCATTGGCCAGGCCAAAAAGGAGGTACAGAAGGTTGCCGGTCACTCTGCCGAGTGTTTAATGTATGATGTGGCCTCCAAGCCGGTGTCGATACATTTGCCGCTATCAAGATTCTTTGCTGGCATATATTTACACTTGGGTACCTACGGGCTGAACTTTGATATGATAACAAGTTTGAAACGTACCCCCGAAGAGATTATGGAACCCATACTGTGTACCCAGGTTATGATGGCTCAGGTGAGGTGAAATGTAATAATTTCTAATTCTTTTTATTTCATTTTGTTATTTGTTTTTCTTTTAGGTCCACTCTGGCATGTGGCGTCGCAATGGCTATTCCCTCTTACATCAGCTCTATTTCTATCGCAATGTTCGCTGCCGTACTGAAATGCTGGATCGTGACATTGTTGGCATGCAAATTGGTGCTTCCCTCATCGAGAGCAATCAATATCTAATACACCTGCTCAATAAATTCAATCTAATCGATTGGATTCAAGACGACTATGATGATTATAAAGTTGAACCCGCGTCCGATGATGATTTCATACGTCAGCTATCAATGATTGATGAATTTCTGGAATTGTTAATTGTTATAATTGGTGAACGTTATATGCCGGGTGTGGCAGCTGTCACCGAAGAAGATCGTACCAAAAAGGAAATTATACAATTGCTGTGTATCAAATCATATTCACATTCAGAATTGAATCGTGCCCTGCCTGATTCAAATAATGATACTGCCTTGGAAGATGTTATCGATTCGGTGGCTGTCTTTAAGAAGCCACAAAAAACCGATGCCAAGGGTGTTTATGAACTCAAGGAAGAGCTATACGATGATTATAATATGTACTTCTATCACTACACCAAGGAGGATAAATCCAAATCGGAAGAGACACAACGTTTGAGGCGTAAAACCAAAGGTGAATTGGTGTGTTGTCCACCACCAAAGTTGCCCAAGCTAACGGATGCTTTTGTGTGAGTAATTTTTGAATAATCTTAAAATTTCTATCAAAAGACCACAAAATATTTTTATAGAAAAAATCATTAAAAGCTTAAGAAGATTTTTTCTATAGAAAAATATTCAGGGCCTCAGTTTTTGAGGCTTTTTTCTGCAGAAAATTCCAGGTTGAAAAGCGATTAGTGTCTCAGCTTCTGAGGATTGGGTTTGCTGTTTCGAAAGAATGACCTATTTTTTTTTTTTCTAAGAAAACCAAATTTCAGAGGCTGAGGATCGATTTTTTTTATGTCTATAGAAACTGACGACTGTTTTTTTTCTATTGATAAAAACCCCCAGACGCTGAGGACGATTTATTTTATAGAAAAATAGCCTCAGACGCTAAGTAAGATTTTTCCTACAGAAAAATAGCCTCAGCGTCTGAAGGGTTTTTATCAATAGAAAAAAATTGTCGTCAGTTTCTATAGGCAAAAAAAATTCGGTCCTCAGCCTCGACATTTGTTTTTCCTCTGTGTCTGCCATTTGTTTTCCTCTTTTCGAAACTGCAAACCAAATCCTCAGAAGCTTAGACACTAATCGCTTTTCAATCCGCAATTTTCTGTAGAAAAAAAGGTCTGAGGAATTAGCCTCAGACGCTGAGGACGATTTTTTTTTCTATAGAAAAATAGCCTCAGATGCTGAGGACGATTTTTTCTATAAAAAAAATAGAATAAAATCCTCAGATTCCGAGGCAATTATTTTCTATGGAAACAAATATGCACCTCATCTTCAGAGGTAATTATTTTTTCTATAGAAAAATCCTGAGAATCGAATATTTTCTATAGAAAACAATTGCCTTAAACAATAGAAAAAAAATAATTGGCCCAGATCCTAATTTTTTCTATAGAAAAAAATTACCTAAGAAGCTGAAGTTCTCAGCTCTTGACGAATTCGGTCCTCAGCTTCTGAGGACAATACTTTTCTATAGAAAGTAATTATGTTTTCTCTATTAATTACCACCCTACCCTTCTCTTTGCAGAACAATTGCCAATTTGTTACAATGCGATGTTATGATGCACCTAATGAAAACAATTTTGGATCGAGCCCTAGATTTGAAGAGGAAATCCTTCCAAGAAAATCATTTGCAAAAGGTAAGCTTCTAATGTTCCCTAGGTCCTGCTTACACAGCTGAAGTAATCTCCTACTCTATCTTACCTCTCACAACAGATACTATTCCTTATCGGCTATGGCTTGCAAGAAGAAGAATCGGAAAATTATCCCTTCTTACAATTCTATCAATGGGCTCAAAAATATAAACTTTTACCCAAACTTGAGGAATTATCACGCAGCAGCAGGGTAAGTTTTTCTTTGTTCCACATCCATCTTCTTATCATCGTTTTTTTTTTTGCATTGGCATTCAATGTTGAATATTGAACATTTTATTATCTCTGTTATTGTCTGTTTATTTTTATTCGTTTTATAATGGCCCTGCACCATCAGGTTGAAGCTCATCGTGATTTCATTTTATGGACCATTAAAAAATTCAAAGATTTGCAAGCCAAACAACCCGTAACCGCCGAAGGTTTAGAACGTATGCAAAGTGATGATATGGAAGCGAGTGCCGCATCATCGAATAATGATAGCTCGGCCGGAGGTGCGGGTGGTGATGATGCCGCCCTGCTGTTAACCTCAGCCGAACAGGAGAAACGCGAAAAGGAGGAACGTGCACGCTTGGCAGCCGAAAGACGTGCCAAAATTCTGGCCCAAATGCAATCGGCCCAAAATAAATTCATGACTTCGAATGCGGAAATGTTTGCCAGTGCCAACGATGTGGCCAGTGATACTAATGCTAGCTCAGCCATGGAATGGCAAGATGACAATTGTCTCGAAGGAGCGGTGGCCTACAATTCCACTGCCTGTTTGGGTGTGGAAAGGCGTCTCCAACAACCCGAGGAGGAGAAATACAATTGCATTCTGTGCTTTGAAGAGGCCACCGTTAGTAAAGAGGGACCCACCCTTGTCTATTCGGCCTTTGTACAAAAATCCAAGGTCCTTAAACCGGAATCGAATTATCCCTATTCCATACACACCAGCAGTTGTGGTCATGTAATGCACGTCAATTGTTGGCAGGAATACTATAACAATGAAGAATCGAAGGAGATACGCCGACCCAGACGTCACCCCTTGCAAATATTCCCCTCATCGCCTAGCACAGAATTCCAATGTCCCTATTGTCGTTGTCTCAGTAACACTGTGCTGCCATTGACACCACCTCTATCCAAATACTCCATACCAAATGTATTTCATGCTGGCGATGAAATGTTCCCCATCGATCTGTGGATCGAAGGTATTCGCGTATTTGGTGAAAAACTTAATAATCTCATATTGGCCGAAGATCCAGACCTATGGAGTTTCCATTTACCTGAATGGTTACCCACACTCAAGGAGGCCCACATACCCATTGATCCAAAACAATTTGATAAAATGGCCCAACCAACTCCACGTAGTGAACTACCCACAAGTTGGATTAATTTCGTCCAGCACTACATCAAGTCGTTGAAACGTAACGAAGATGAAGGCTTACTGAATATGTGGCATTCGTGCGTGTACACCGTGCAATCTTTGGAGGTCTATTTACGTTCGGTGGGAAAACCATTAAAGGATGAAATGTCCATACGCCATCAGAGTTGTTTGAGTGGCCTAATACGGGCTTGTTGTCTGTACAGTGGTAATCTGACGCAATCCGATATTAAGAACTTGATCAAACCTGTGGCGGAGCTGTTAAATGTTGTATTCAAACATAACGGCGATTCAGTATTGGAATGGAATTGTTTCAGCAAAATGGTATCGACAATTATGATGGTGCCCAATCTACTGTTTGCCCGAAATCGTAAGTAATCAATTTTTTATATTTTATATTTAGTATTTATGCGAATATGCAGTTTTAAGGTACGGAATAGGTATCTGATCTAATGATAGTTATTCTAGCAGCTTGTGTTTTTTGAAATTCAATCTGTTGGGAATTCCTGTCATAGATATTTTTCTATATGCGGAAAAGTTTCTTCTAAAGATGAGACCTTTTGTTCCTAACGGAACCATTCCCATCTGTAGTTGAAACGGGCGTTTCTTGTAAAATATCCATTGCTTCTCGTATAGAAAATATCGTAGCATCAGTGATCGGCCTAATATACAAATAACTGTTGAGCAATTACTGTATACGTGTATAATTTTGAAAAGAAATGTATTTATTTTATTATAAAAAAGGAAAGTCGATGTTTTTAGTAAAATATGAAGCTTATTGTGAATGAGTCATCAAACTGTTAACGAGTTTTTCTGGAAAAGGCTTAGGTTGTGCAAGTTAACACATCCCTTACATGGCAATTTAATTTTCAGTGCTACTTTCGGTTTCATTTAGTCCATGTATGGACCCTGCTGTAGTCGATTTCGGAAAAAAAGATGATGTTCCAGATTTATTAAGTGATTTTTCTCATCGAAAAGGTTTGATATTGTTTATTGTTGGAATTTTTCCTTTCCCGTTTCGAGATTGAAGAGCAATCATCATGTGAGAATTTGTTCCATTGCCCTGATAAAAACTTTATTTTGACAATAATAAATTTGTATACCATCTACCAAGCTTGAGGCGGATAGTATAAAATATTGCGGGCTATATCCATCCCTCCACAAAAGCGATATAGAGCTTTAAAATTTTGCACATTACTACTATTCCTAGGACTTTTGTAATAAAGAAATGGGATATATCGGTCAACGTCTTTGTATATTCGTTAAATAACAGTACCTCCCAACATTCCATATTTTGAATAAGTTTTTCAATCGAATTTGTTGTAATTTAGTACTTATTAGGGTTCTCATTGGATAGCAACTCTCCAAACAAAATTATATAAATCAATTTAAAGCAAATATCAATCGAACATAAATATCTAATAAACGTGAGGAGTTTGGTACACCATTTACTTAATATCGTACAAAAATATATATAAAAGCTATATCGAAATCTACACCGATTTCATCGAAACTTGTCACAGGTTAGGTTGTACTAATTTAGTACGTTTTGTGCATATCGGCCACATTTAGAGTTGCGCATAATTTATTTAAAATCGGGAGAAAATATATCCTATCCAAGTCTGAACCAATTTCAACAAAACTCTCCACACGCTATGTTATATTAACTTCAGTACGTTGAGCAGCATTTACTTTACTTAAAATCGGACGAAATTATAAAATCGGAACCGATTTTCACGAAGCTTAACACACATCATTCTAGACTTAATTCATTAGGCTATGCCAAATTTCGTGCAAATCGAATGATATATAGGGACGTTGGTACACAATTTACATTAAATCGGACGAAAACATATATGGAAGCTATATCTAAATCTGAACCGATTTTCACGAAACTTAATACACATTATTCTAGACCTAATTCATTACGCTGTGCCAAATTTCGTTGCAAATCGAAATATGTATCGGACTTTGGTACACCATTTGCATTCAATCAAGCGAAAATATATATGGGAGCTATATCTAAATCTGAATCGATTTTTCCCAATTTCAATAGGGTCCGTCATTGGGCCAAATAAGTGACCTATGCCAATTTTCATCCAATTTGGATCATAAATACGACCTGTACTTTGTTTACAATTTAACATGGACAGACAGATGGACGGACATGCATAAATCGAATTAGAAAGTGATTCTATGCATATTCTCAAAAGGAACCATGTGTCTGTCCCGTTTCCTTTTGCCTGTTACAAACATATGCACAAAGATATGATATCCTGCACCACAGTGTGATGATGGGTATAAAAATCTACGGCTTGTTAAGACTTTGAAAAAAAAATAATAAAAATATACTCAAAAAAACCTACGCCTTGAAAAAAAATATTCTTTAATAAATTCATGCCTTGCTTGGCCCTTGAAGAAATATTCTTTAATTATAATGAAAAAATATCCTTAAATTAAAAAAAATATGCTTTTAAAAATTAAAGCCTTGTATGATCCTTAAAAAAATCTATGTCTAAATTGGTCTGAAATAGTTTTTTGGAAAAAAAAACATTCCCAGAATTAATCCTTGAAAAATATTCCTACCTTGAAATAGTCTTTGAAAAAATTAATCCTTGGAAAGCCACATCTGAATTAGTCCTTGAAAAAATATTCTTTAAAAAATCCACGACTGAATTAGCCTTCAGCCCTTCAAAAAATACATGCATTGAACGGAGCTTGAAAAAATATTCTTTAAAAAATTCAGGCTTTGGACGGTAATTGAACAATTTGTTATATACAATAAGCTTCTAGAATAAGCACTAGTACATAAGGCCATATGACCAAAAAAGAAAGAATTTATTAACAACAAGAAAAAATATTATATTCCCTTCTAGGAGATGTTTCTGTTGTAGCCAATGGCAGCTTAATGGATTTCTATACGCTGCAGGTTTTCCTGCTCGCCAATGTTGTTAAATCGTTGATTTTATTTGAACAACCTGCCGAAGGTCTTCTTATGGACATTGAGGAAGAAGATTATGTGGCCATCAGTGATAAACAATTGGAAAATATTTCCACATTCTTTAATAAATATAATATACAGGCCAGACAAAAGGCGGCGGTGGCGGCACAACAAGAAAAAAAAACAAACAATGGAGGAGGTGGAGGAGAAAGTAAACAACAACAGCAGCAAGAACCACAGTCAATGGGCGATAACAATGCTGATGGTGATGACAACGAGGAAGCCATGATGACAGATACAACGCAACAACAACAGTCACAGCAACAACGGGAAGCGGAAGTCTCTGGCCAAAAATCACAATTGTTAAGTCCACAGTTGGTAACCGCCCTATTGGATCACATTAAAATGGAAATGCGTGAATTCCTCCGTTGTTCCTGCCTCTTTTTCCATTTTGTTACCGATGTGGAATTCCCCGACTATTTGGCCACCAGCGACAGTGATACCTTCGAGAATATGTGTAAATATTTGGGTTTGAATAGCCAGCTGGAATCGTACTTTGATATGGCAACACCCTACGCCACAATTATGGAAATGTTTGCCTCGCATCACGATATTACCAATTTGGAAGTGGCCACGACGAAAATTAAGAAAACCGGTGATCCTCTCGTCATCGTACCATGTATTCGACCAGTACCGCCGTTGGTTAGCCTACCCGAAGATTATAGTGATCTAATAAATAGTGTATCCGACTTCAGCTGCCCGAATAATGAGCGCGAAGAAATGAAAACGCCCACAATGTGTTTGGTGTGTGGTGAGATACTGTGTGCCCAATCGTATTGTTGTCAACCGGAGCTGGATAGCCGTAATGTGGGTGCCTGCACCTATCATGCATATTTCTGCGGTGCTGAAATTGCACCATTCTTGCGTATACGTGATTGTCAGATTGTATATTTGGGCAAGAATAAGGGATGCTTTGTCCAGCCACCTTATTTGGATGAGTATGGTGAGACGGATCAGGGGCTGAGACGTGGTAATCCGTTGCGTTTGTGTCCCGCACGTTATAGTAAAATACATTTGACCTGGTTGGGTCATGGTCTGCATGAGGAAATTGCACGACTTAATGATCATTCGTCGGCAATAACAACACAATGGCATCATATGTAGTTCAAGGGCACACAACAACAGCAACAAACACACATACACAGAAGAGTAGAGATTGGAGACGGAGATTATGGCGTTGAGGAGGAGAAGAAGATAATTTCTTGATTAAAGGAGAAATATTAAATATAATTAATAATAAATAAATATATAGAATATAAAACCAACAAAAACACAACAGCAGTTAATGTGATTTAAATTAAAAATGAAAAACAAAAATAACAACAACAAATGCTAGAAAACAACAACCACAAAACTTTGGAACGAAGCAAAAAAGAAAAAATGCAAGCAAGCAAAAATATAAAAATTAATATTATTAAATTTATGTTATTTTAAATAATAATACTAATAAAAAATAAAAATAATGAGATTGAGAATATAACTTTTCAAATAAAAAAAACAAATATCCCTCCTCTCTTTATCTAAAATAAAAAACATAGAGAAAAAAACAAAATGCAAAAACAAATTTGGATTAGATTTCACACACACAAAATATAAACCAATAAAATTATATTAGAAAATAAAATACAATATTGAAGCTTAAATCATAACTATTTTTAGGCGCTTCATATGATTGTGTGGAAAATATAGACCTTACCTACTGGGCAACAAATTTTAAATTTATTTTTTCTCTCAGAGGGCATTCATTATTAATTTAGGGATATTAATATTAATGAATGCAATATATTATATATTGAATTGATTTTGAAATATATATCCATTGCACTTTATTTTCAACCATGTTCAAAAGTGAGGTTATGATGATTTTGTTTTCCGATTGATTCAACCATATTTAAAAGTGAGGTTATGATGGTTTGTTTTTCGATTGATTGCCCAGACCAATGTCTACATTATCCATACACTTGAAGAAATTTAATTTATTTTTCAGGTCTAGATATTTACTTATTATGAAAATTTACTTAATTTTGTCTTTCTTTTTTTGTGTTTGTCAAAAGAAAAGCTTTAAACCTCCAAGCTGAAAAGGTCGTAGCTCAATCTTCTTGTAGATTGAAAACAGTTTACCAACAAAAATTACTTGCATATGTTGTTTTAAAAAACATATTGTTTTGTTTTGTAGGAATTTTTATTAAGGTCCTTTTGTTTTTGCTCCATCATGCTGCATTCATTATACTTACACTCGCACACACAGACATTACTCATCCACTTGACGTGTTCATTTATACATCCATCTATGCAATTCAAAATAGGCTCTTCGTATTAGCAATTTATCTTTCATGTCCTTTTTAAATTTCTTTACTTGTTTTGTATTCGGCAGCTTTTAGTTGTTATGAATATTTTTTAATTTCTTCTCCAAAAACATCGTTTTTGTTTAAAAAGTAAAACCATTTAAAAAATCTAAAAAAGCTCTCTTCTTGTTGTCTTTCATTTATTTATTTATTTTTGGAAGAAATTTGTTATTAACAATTGTCTCCCTCTCTTTTAAAAAATACTCCCTGTTTCTCTCTCCAAGAATCTTCATCTTCTTTTGCGTTGCTTAACAAAAAAAAAACACTACTTAGAAATTTAATTTATTTTGAATTACTTTACACAACTATATAATAAATATTATTATTTTTATTTTTTTGTTTATTTAATAAAACTATTAAATGTAATTTACAAAAACAAAAAACCCAAACAACACAACAAATCATTATAATCATCATAAACAAGAAGAAACTTAAATTAAAAAAAATGTTTGTTTAATAAAAATTTAAATATAAAATAAAAAAAAAACTGAGAATTTTGTTTTTGTGTGCAACAGTGTGAGTATAATGTAATCTATAATGGACCCAAGGCAATTATATTTTAAGATATATCTTCTATATATAGAATAATGATGTGGTTAGAAAGGGGATCTGGCTGCAACATGTAAGGGTGTGCCCACGTGGAATTTGGAGAGAGGTCAGTAAGGATGGACCTGACAGTTAAATAAGTGCAATGTGTTGTGCGATCCTAGTCCTCATGCTGGACTTCTTTTAGGTATGGAACCATAAATTCGTACCAATCAATAATTGAGGCGGTTTTACCAACATGTTCTTAGCTGTGCAAAAACTACTTGTGTCTGCATGCAGCTGCTTCTCTTCTCCTTTGCTGATAGGTTGATATCCGACGAAAGAAACTTACAAGACCTTCCATAGGACCTCTACAGAAGATGAAGAACTCGTGTGAGATCGGCTGTATACATTTCTGGCCTAGGCAACACTAACAAGTGTTTTATCCTTGAATCATGTATAAACTATGTTAAGTTCGGGCTTCTTATACCCTTCATCATGAAGTAGACATTTCAAAATAATTAGAATCAATCGGGAGTTTCCTATGGGTGAAATGCCATGGTATCCTGGTTGGCAAGAGGAAACGAATTACCCAAGAGAATTTTATGCGTCAAATTGTATAGGGACTTCTATTGATAATATTCTGTTAAGAAATATACCATCAAAATACTTAAATATGTGCTGGACATTTATATAGGGACCCATACCCATATACCGATATTTATAATCGTCGTAGGAACATTTTGCAAGAATAAGAACACGAAATATTAAATTTGAACCATCTCAGCTCAAAACTATTTCTGAAATGCTCAAAATAACAAACATTTGCATTTAAAGAGAATGCAAAATATGAAATTACAAACAACAAAATATATGAGGGCTTCCCCAAAAAGTAATCCAATATTTATAATTTCCGGTAGGAAGACTTTGCTACCCAATGATAGCCTATAATGCCAAATCACGGTGAATTCGGTTGCAAAGATCCAAAAAAACCCGAAAAACAAGAAAGTTCTTCTGAGACTGAGGCCCGTTTTTTGCATTAGGATAAAATCTCCGTACTCTAGAAGCTATGAACCGATTTTTATACCCTTCACCACACTATGGTACAACAGGGTATTATGTCTTTGTGCATATGTTTGTAACATGGTTCCTCTTGAGAATATACATAGAATCACTTTCTATGTCGATTTATGCATGCCCGTCCGTCCATGTATTTTTGTGAACAAAGTACAGGTCGCATTTATGATGCAATTTGGATGAAATTTGGCACATGCCACTTATTCGGTCCAAGGACGAACGCTATTGAAATTTAAGAAAATCGGTTCAGATTTAGATATAGCTCCCTCCCATATATAGTTTCGTCCGATTTCATGTAAATGGAGCAACATACTGCCAATATTAGTCCGATTGAGACTAACGTGCAAAAGAGTACTGACATAGATCCAGAAATCGGTTCGGTTTGTTGAAATGGGTTCAGATTTAGATATAGCCCCCATATGTATTTTCGTCCGATTTTATGTAAAGTGGGCACAATATTGCCAATATTGGTCCTATTGACACAAAAATTGCACAGAGAACTGAATGAATGGTCTAGATTGATATATGCCAACTTTTTTGATATCGGTTCAGATTTAGATATGGCTCCCTTATAAAGTTTCATCCGATTTTATGTAAATGGAGCACCATACTGCCAATATTGGTCCAATATTATGTAAACGGTGCACCAAACTCCCAATATCGGCCCAATTGCGATAACATTTTGCACAGAGTACTGAATTAGTTCTAGATTTATATATGCATTGATTAAATCGGTTCAGATTTAGATATAGCTCCCATATATAGTTTCGTCCGATTTTATGTAAATGGTACACCATACTGTCAATGTTTGTCCGATTGAGACAAAATTTTGCATAGCGTATTGAAGTTACAACAGGTTGACATCCCTATTGAACTTACCAAGAATAACGTGTATTGAATTTTGTGTCGAAATGGTAGATGCCACGGTTGCTCAAATACGTCCATTTATATCTAGGTCTTATACATAGTTTGCTCGATGACTGACATTCAATTTTTCATAAATTTCAGATTGGTATGTGCATGGTTGTTGTTGTTGTTTTAATTTAGTTCAAATATCTATGTACTTCACGCAGTTAATTTCATCCCATTCCATTTTAATGGACCTCCAAAAATGATATGTCTATTTTATCTAAAGGATATTGTACATATCCCAAAGTGATGAAGAGTATCATATAGTCGGTACCGTCCGACTTTTGAAATTTTCTTATTGGTTTCTATAGGAAAAATCCTCTGCAGCGAAGTATTGAATTCTATAGAGACTTGCCATTTTTTTATAGAAGACAAATTTTGAAATTTGTTTCAATATAGAATTTTTTCTGTAGAAAAACGTGTTGATTTTTTCTGTACAAAAACGTGGTTATTTTTTCTGTAGAAAAACGTTTTCAGAGCAGTTTTTCCATAGTCCTCAAGATGGTCTTTGAAAATATTTTTGAATCAATCTACGTCTTGAAGATGGTTTTTGAAATCTGTTTTTAATAAATCTACGTCTTAAAAATGGTCCTTGAAAAAATATGTTTTTAAAAATCCACGTCTTGGACTATCTTTAAAAAAATATATTTAAAAAAATGCCTTGGACTATACTTGAAAAAATATATTTTAAAAAAATCCACGATAGCCCTATTCCAACAAATAGTCCAATCCTTAAAAAAAATATATAAAATATAGTCTTAGAAAAAATAATCCTTCAAAAACCCAAGCCTTAAAAATCCAGGCCTTGGATAGTCTTTGAAAAAATATTCCTTAAAAATCCAGGCCTTGGACAGCCTTTAAAAAAATATTCCTTAAAAAATCCAGGCCTTGGATAGTCTTTGAAAAAATATTCCTTAAAAATTCAGGCCTTAAATAGTCTTTAAAAAATATTCCTTAAAAAATCCAGGCCTTGGACTGTCCTTGACAAAATATTTTTTAATAAATCCACACCTTGGATGGTCCTTAACAAAATATTTTTTAATAAATCCACACCTTGGATGGTCCTTAACAAAATATTCTTTATAAAATCCACGCCTTGTATTGGTCCTTGGAAAAATGTTCTTTAAAAAATACACGCCTTGAGTGGTCTAAAAAAATTCTTTAAATTCCACGCCTTATATTGGTCCTTGAAAAAAATATACTTTAAAAAATCCAAGTTTTTTTTAAATTCTGCGTTAATCAAAACTCCAATTTTGTTAGTTTTAAATTATTTTTTGTTATTTTATTATTTATTTTATATAAAAACTATATTTTTATATACACATACTCTAGCATATATCTTAAATATAAAAAATCGTTAACATTACTTAGGAATTAGTTTTGTTTTTCTGTATATAAAACTTACAATTAATATTTTAGAATGAATTGGTTTTCTTAAAAAAAATATATATATAATTGTTTCCTAACTACAAATAATTTAAAAAAAAATATTTTATAATATTTTACATTATTTACATCTATCTATTTTATTTTATTTTTAAGTAGAATTGAAGTTTATACAGTGTTTTTTATATTATTTTTGGACTAGATAAATTGGTGTGTATTGCTGCTTTTGTTATATTAGTTATTTAAAAATAAAATATAATTATTATAAAATTATAAAAAATACTATATATTGATGGGGGGAAAACATTCAATATAAACTAAAGTTTTAAACATAGATTGGAAATCATTATTATTTTTCTTCTTTGTAACAATAAAAATAATATATACTAAAAATACTAATTATTTTTTGTTTTATAAATCAAATATTTTATTTGTTTATTTGCAGAATTTTCAAATGGAATTTTAAAAAATTGTTGGAAATTCAAAATATTTCATCTGTAGTAAAAACGAACCATTATTTCAATGAAATTTAATTTTGAAATAATTATAATAATATTTAAAATGTTTATTTAAATTTTGAAATAATTGTATTAATATTTAAATTTCAAAATATTTTTTTTTAATTATTTAAATTTAAAATTAAATATTTCAAATTTAATTTACATATTTTTTATTATAAATACAATTTTGAATTTGTCTATCCAATTTTCCTTTAAAAAATTTAAATTTCGTTAAGAAAATATTTTTAAATTCCATTTGAAAATCCGCTTGATGACCATTGCAAATAAAATAAAATGCATCTATTTATAAAAAAATATGTTTAAAAAATCGTTATGATTTTTTTTTCATTGCTTTAAGTGTGAAATATTTTGCTTTCTCCCAACCAACCTCTGTTGGAGGAAAATTCAAAATTATTTCAATCTCTTTTCAATTCTCTCTCCCAAGGGATTAAGTTTTTGTTTTTTTATGGATTCGTTTACATGTGGATTGCTGTTGACGTATCGCTGGGTGTTGGGCTAATTGCTGTGTGGTTGGATGCTGTCGTTGTCGTTGACGATGATGTTATGGTTATTGACATTGTTGTATTTGGTTTATCCTGTGTCTCCTGTTCATCCTTACACTGTTCCATATCAATGACGAGACAATCATAGGGCGGTGGTGGAATATCAAATTTAACCACACTATCATAGCTGGGTGGCAGTGAATCAACAATTCGCAGAATATCATTTTGGGAATTGATCTGGAAAGGAATAGGAAAAAATATAAATTAATAAAAAATGTTTCCAACAGAGACCTTGAAAGACCTCTGCTATTTTATAAAAGACATCTTCTATGGCAAAGTAGACGTATTTTATGGCATAGAACGGCTCTTCTTCTTGGTCTTTACAAAAGTTTCATTTCCCTCCACACTCAGACATTTCTACTCATTTTTTTCGTCTGAATTCCTTCCCCTTACACTTACATGTGTTACACCACTAAGTCCACCACTGCTGCTGCTACCCACACGATTACCCGCCTCATCAATGGGTCCCGCCCATATACACACACCCATTCGATGTGTAACATAGCCACAAATGATTACACTAACAATCAGCATACCAATACCCAGGGCAAAGACAAGCCACCTACTCTCCGGACTATTGGCCATATCGTGCAGATTCTTTTCCAATTGCAGGGCACACAATATTAGTATGGGTACGGCTATCATGGCCACCAGGAGATCGATAATTGGTCGCTGTTGATTCATTCTGTAGACGGTGGGTTGGCTGTTGGAAGATGTGTCGTCAGCGGAGGCCGCGTGCGATGCAGTGCGGGTGGCACTGTTGGTAGTGATTGTGGTGCCAGGTCGATTGGAGCTTGTCAGTGTTACAGTACGTGCCTGAACTGTGTTGTGATTTTGCAGTACCATGCTGTAAAGAAAAAAATCGGAAAAGAAGAAGACGAAAAAAGCTATTAATATGCAAATCATCTAAATGGGGTGTTTAGAACTATGAACGATGGGGAGGTTGGGGGAGTTCTAATAGTTTTCTACGAAGCAAACAATAACAAATGTTTGTAATTAAAATGCAATTAATTTTAACCCATAAGTGGCAAAGATATCTTCTCAAAGGCATTTTTTAGGATGGTGTAGATTTTTAGAAAATTATTTTTTCAAGGCCCACAACAGGCGTGGATTTTTTAAAGAATATTTTTTCAAGGCCATTATAAGTCATGAATTAAAAAAAATCAAAGCCTATTATAGGGAGTGGATTTTTAAAAATATTATTTCAAGGACTATGGCATGGATTACGGCGCAGATTCTTTAAAAATATTTTTTCAAGGACGTGGATTCTTTAAAAATATTATTTCAAGGACGTGGATTTTTTAAAAATATTTTTTCTAGGACTGTGGTATGGATTAAGGCGTGGATTCTTTAAAAATATTTTTTCAAGGACGTGGATTTTTTAAAAATTTTCAAGGCGTACATTTTTTAAAAATTTTCAAGGCGTACATTTTTTAAAGAATGTTTTTACTAGGACCTCTTCCAGGTGCAATTTTTTTTTTAAATATTTTTTTAAGGACCACTCGAGGCTCAAATTGTTTAAAGAATATTTTTAAGGCCAAAACAGGCGTGTGTTTTTTAAATAATTTTATTGAAGGCCCACAACTGGCGTGTTTTTTTAAATAATTTTTGTTTTTGAAGGCCTAAGGGTGTGGAAACTACCTCCTACCAAAGTGTTAAATAGATTAAGTGTTTGTCAAGCATGTGGTTGTTGTTGTTGTTAGTGTTTTCTAATTACGTTGTGGCAATTGTTTTGTTGTTAAAGTTTTTGTCGTTAAGATCACGTTTAGTTATCACCTGAGCGGTTTTGGTCATTCATCATTTACCTCATATGGATGCATGGTTGTCTATCCAACTGTTTGTCTGTCGCATTGCCTTTTGTGTGTAAGTACTACTACTACGTACGTCTACAATTGTCATCGTCATGTGAGGGCGTAGACGAAACGATTGAAAAAATAACAACAAAAAACTTCTGCTGGTCCGATCTCTATTTGCTTTGTGTGGGAATGCGCAAATAATTAATTATTTGTTGATAATTTATTCATTGTTTGATTTCGTCTTTTATTGCCGCATTTGTTTAGCCACAACAACAACAACGAAAACAATATCAAGAACAACTCAAGAGAGTCTACCGGCATCTGTCGGTCTTTGTTTTGCAATGTGGGAAACTACCTCAATTTTTGTGGTGCTGGTTAGAGTGGTGCCCCTTTGGAGGGGATTTTGCAAATTTCAAGGAAATAGATATTATCCTTTACGTTTTTTCAAAAAATAAATATTTTGTGTAGTATTCTATGAATCAAAAATTCACAAAAAGTAGGGAAACCACCGAAATTTCCAATTTGAAATCGAAAGTTTGATGTTATTAGACATTGTGGCGTATGGATAGTGACATCAATCATAAGCAAGGTTGGGAGGATAGGAGAATATTTATATTATAATTATTTTTTTCAGAGATTATTTTTGGGGAATACATTTTGTGTGAAAAATCAAGTGAAAGGCAATTTTAAGGGAATAAATAATAAAATTGAATTTACAAATATTTTTTCATAGTTTTCAGTAAGTAGGTTTTATTTGTTAATTTTTACCCAAAAATATGTTCTCATGATATAAAAGCGTAACAGTTAAAAAAATAAGTCATGGAAACCCTGTATCTATAGATATGCTATATATATATATATATACAAGACCTTTTATATAGATAGAATTCGATCCGCAGGAATTATTTTGCATTAATACGCACACAAACAAATCTCTAAAAAATTAATTCCTCCTCATTTACTTTCGTATTACACCTTGTCCATTTGCATTAATGCCCTATCTGCTGTAACCACACGATTACCCGTCTCATCAATGGATCCCGCCTACAAATAATTACACTAACAATTATTATTAGATCGTATACATGTTGACAACACTCATACGCTAGGAATTATTAGCACCAATTAGGCAGTTTGGGACTACCACATTAGGAGGCAAGGCTTTTTATGGAATATCGGACTAATTTTAAAGAAATATGTTTTGGAAAGTTGATTTTTTTATGAAATTGCTTTTTTGAAGAAAAACATTTCTATGGATCTATATATTATATTATTTTCAAGGACTACTATGTTTTCTAAGAGTAACAGAGTGCAGATTCAAGAAAAATTATTTTTCCTAAGATTAACAGAGCACAGATCCAAGAAAATATATTTAATCCAAGATAAAATATATTTAACCCAAGATTTAATATAATTAATGCTATGGGATTCTTTTAAGCCCACGAGGTCGTATGAATTTTGACAATACTCATACGACATGGACAATTATAATCAAAATTGTCAAATTTAGTTTTATATGCAGTGGTCAGGTAATTTGTTTCAATGATTTTCAACAATTCAGATATTTTTGTTTGATCAAATAGTTGGCTTTCGAAATCAATTTATTTCAGATAAATACCTCCATTAGTCTTGAAGTTATGGCCCACAGAAATTGATTACGCAAAATATGAACAAAATTGCAAAATTTGAGTAGGGGCTTCATTTTTCGAATATTTTTAAAATTTCTGTAGGTTTTTAAAAATATTGGTATCCAGAATTGAGAGGCAGGATATTTTCCTATCATAATCAATTAATTTCAACAAAATAAACAATAACGAAGAATGACAAAAGGAAACGTCAAAAAATTGTAAATGAAAACATATTTTTGTGTGGTATTATAGTTTTTTTATAACAAAAATGATGAAAATAAAAAAAATAATTTTATGAGATCTATCAAATATACTCTCCCTAAGTGACCACGGGTATGAAAATATATCGAAATGTGACAAATGTTTTCAAATATTTAATTTTTATAGATTTATATAAAATGTCTTAATATAGATTCGTTTATGTATTTTTTAAATATCGTTTCAAATAGAAAAATTCCAACTCCAATAAAAGAGGCCGCTGCTTTTGAAATTGCTTGGACAAGGTGGTTATCAACACCAACCTATAAATATGCACACATATACATTTTATATAAAAAATAATATATTACTTTTCCAACCAAATCTTTTACAGGAGGTCACTTTGATTGAGGTCATCAGACAGTTTTGTCCACAAATTGTTGGCGCGTTGTTTCGCATTTGAACTCTGCAACTGTCCCTTTGCCAAATCACTGTGTTGCCCCATAAAATCTACTGAAGTTAGAAACAGACGTTGCTGAGGGTGTAACTGTGACTTTTTTGCCTTTTACTTAAAATAATTTACAATTTATATATAAATAAAACCTTTATATGTTTCGCTTCCTTTGCGTTTGCTATTTTGTTAACGCAATTATCTTTTAACGAACATTTAGTTTGACATGCGTTTTCGTATTACAGAGTGCGGTGATGCCGCATTTGCGTAAAGTAGATGCGAAAGGAGATACGAAAACGAATTAGAGAGTACCAATTACGCGATGCGTTACAATTTTTCTCACGCATCGCAATACAGAGTAGCCCCCCAGGTCGCATTTATTATTCGAATTGGATGAAATTTGGAAAAATCGGTTCAGATTTAGATATAGCTCCCATATATATTTTCGGCTGATTATGGTAAATGGTGCCAAAATCAAATAGCTTTCGTTTTGCACGAAATGTTGCACAGCTTACTGATTTATGCCTAGAATGATGTATGCTAAGTTTCTTGAAAATCGGTTCAGATTTGGATATAGCTCCCATATATATTTTCGACCAATTTAAGGTAAATGGTGCACCAAAGTTCTTAAATATCATTCGATTTGCACGAAATTTGGCATAACGTACTGAATTGAGCCTAAAAATGATGTTTATTTCAGAAATATCCCAATAAGATATAGCTCCCACATATAGTTTCGTCCGATTTAAGGTAAATGGTGTACCAAAGTCCCTATATATCATTCGATTTGCACGAAATTTGGCATAGCGTACTGAATTGAGCCTAGAATTATGTCTGTCAAGTTTCGTGAAAATCGGTCCAGATTTAGATATAGCTCCCATATATTGTTTCGTCCGATTTCATGTAAATGGTGCAACAAAGTCCCTATATATCCTTCGATTTGCACGAAATTTTTCATGTTTCGTGATAATCGGTCCAGAATTAGATATAGCGCCCATATAAGTTTCGTCCGATTTCTTGTAAATGGTGCTCTAAAGTACCTATTTATCCTTCGATTTGCACGAAATTTGGCATAGCGTACTGAATTTAGTCCAGACTGATATGTTCCAAGTTTCGTGGAAATCGGTTGAGGTTTAGATATAGCTCCCTTATATTGTAGATTGATTTTAAGTAATTGACGCACCAAGGATCCAATATGTGACTGATAGGAACAAAACGTACTGAAATTAGTATAACCTAACTTGTGACAAGTTTTGTTGAAATCGGTTCATATTTTGATATAACTTATATATTTTCGCCCGATTTTAAGTAAATTGGACATCAAACTCCTCATGTTAGTCAGATTGTCATCAACTTTTGCACAACGTACAAAATTGAGCATAGAATTACGTAGTTGCGTTTTCTAGAAGTACATACATAACCCAACGGATGGCCTATTGATATTTGTTTGAAGTCGATTGATCATCCAATTTCATGTTAATAGTCCGGTTTAATATACCCATAGTGGTGAAGGGTATCATATAGTCGGCACCGTCCGACTTTACTACTTTCCTTACTGGTTTTGTTTGATTTTTTCCTAGCTCATGGGATTTTATAAATGTTGGCAACAATTGGCTTCGAAAATCTAACCTTTCAA